GAGCCCGCGCGCCCCAACCAGCTGCGGCCCAACCGGCAGCTCGCCTCGGTGGCCGCGCTGTTGAGGCGCTTTAGCTTCCCGGCGGCCGCACCCGGGGGCCGCGAGTCCTCGGAGGCGGCGGGGGTCGGATGTGCGCTGCACGGCGAGCCGCTCAAGCTCTTCTGCCAGGACGACGGGCGCCCCATTTGTGTGGTGTGCGACCGCGCCCGCGAGCACCGAGCGCACGCCGTGCTGCCGCTCGACGAGGCGGTGCAGGAAGCCAAGGTGAGCGCCGGCCCTCTCCCAGCGGGCCCCCGGCACCCCCTGCCCCCGCTCGCTCTCCGGCGCGCCGCGCCCACGCCGGCGGGTCGCTCTCCTCCCTCCCTGGCTGCGCAGCTCCGCTCCGGATCCCGTGCGCTTCTGGTGCCAGCTCCCCCACCACCGAATGCCGCCCTCCACCCACTCTGGGCGCCATGCTGGGTTGCCTGTCCGAAACCCAGACTTGGCGAGAAACTCTAGTTCGGCGCCTTCATCACACCCATAGTCTCAGCCAGACTGGCCGTGGCTCTGCCGGGGTCCTCGCCCCCCGGGGCCGAGTGTGGGGCCACCTTCCCGAGAGTGGGGGTGAGAGGGGGAAGGCACCCTGCGGAGCAACGCGCGGACAGTGCCGCCAGGCTATAGCTCGTGGGGTTCTACGACAGTTAGTGATTCTGGGCGTCCCCCTTGCCAGCCTCCTGTGGTGTGCGTGGAGGTTTTGGGCACACAGTTCCCAGTCTCTGCACTTACTCCGCACCATCCCTCGGCTCAGAGCGTCCCTCTCTCCTCCCTACTGGGGAGAAATAAAGAACGGACTAGGCAGCTTCGTCTGCAGGGGGGGGTAGGGGTTGCGGGGGTGGGGGCTTGTGTTTCAGTTTAAGTTGGGCACAGATGGTGCCCAACATTGGGGAAGTGACAACCTTTTAGAGTCACCTTCTATGAAAGCTGTGTCTCTCTTCAGCCCTCGCCCCTCCTCAACCAGGAGCACCATCCCTTTCTCCTAATGACTCCAGGAAGGCGCATGTGGGGGTTTCCAGAATCCTCTGCCCACAATGTCTCCCTTTTCGCCCTCCCACAGGAGCTCCTGGAGGCCAAACTGAGGGTTTTGAGGAAGGATCTGGAGGACTATGAGGTGTTTCGCTCCACGGAAGAGAAGGAGAGCAAGGAGCTCCTGGTGAGCACCCCTCCCTGCCCTGTGCAACAGCACAGCCGCCCACCTGACCCTGGGTGTGGTGCTGGTGTGTGCATGTGGAACAAGCATCCAGGTTAACTTCAGGAAGATAATAGGATACATGAGGTGATCATATCATTATTATACAATCAGAACTTTTGAAAGTGAAGAGAAAGAGAGTGTTTAGACACTCTAGAGCAGCTGGTTTAAACCGCAACAGTCACCCTAAGATTACATAACACCCCAATTAAGGCCTATACCGCATCTTGCAAGTGAACACAGTAATGTTTACACAGAAACATGAGGGTATTAAGTGGGGAGCATAAATACAGCATAAATAACCTGGTGACAGTCCGGGGCATGGTTTGCCCCAAGAGTTATGCAAAAAAAATTTTTTTTCCTTATTTTTAGAGCTTTGTAAACTTTGAAGTTGGGGCTAAGGGGGAGGAACTCGGAGTCTGCCTGAGCCGTTTCCCACCCAGCAGACGACTACAGGTTTGGGGGACTTGGCTTCCAGGTGCTGCTGCTGCCCAGCCCATGTCCCTATACTCCTTGGCGGGTTAGGATTTTATTCGGTTTTCTTGCAATGGAACAGAAAAGTAAAATGGGGCTGTTTTTGGCAAAGGTAGGCAGATATGGGCCACTGACTCACCTTTGCAACTTACAAGTTCTTAGGTCAGCAAGTGGATAGTAAGAGAACAAAAGGATCTGCTGGGGCCTATTAGTGCAGAGTTACTGGATCCCACAGATGGCAGGGGAGGAGGACGAGGCTGGTCATCGTCCTCTCAGCGCAGTAGGGAATAGGTGCAAGGAAGGAGAGGACCCTGAGTTCATTTTCTCCAGGGTCCTTTCCTGACCCTCACTGCATCTGTTTCACCTGCATGTGGCATTGCTCATTCCAGCCATTCACCTGATCATTCACTTTCCTTCTTCCTTAAGAACAGTGCCCCTCTGCTTCCTCCAGAGCTCTGTCTTCCTCTGTTGGAGAAAGGGGCAGGCCTGTGAGTCCTTAGCCACTGTGGTGTATCAGCATCGCCACAGCCTGACCAGTTTCGCTGGCTCCTACCCCACTCAGCAACCCTTGACACTGCTTGGAACCTTCCATTCTGTCCTCTGCCAATACTTACCCCACTTTTGGGGTAAATACCTGCTAAATAAAACAATAGAGGTAGAGGATAACCTTTGCTGCTTGATAATAAGGAGAATGAATACTTTTATTTGAAAAGGCTATTACCACGAATGGGTCTCAACTGGAGGTAATTTTGACCCCCAGGGCACATTTGGAAATGTCCATATATATCTGGAAATATTTTTGTTTGTCAGCACTGGTGCAGCAGTAGTGCTTTTAGCACTACTTAAACCTGCTACAATGCTCAGGACAGCCCTCCAAACAAAGAATGATCTGACCCCAGATGTCAGTAGTGCTGAGGTTGTGAAACCCTTATTCAGAGTATTTTGGCCAATAACTTGTGTTATTTCATTGGGAGACCGTATGACATAGTTGCAAGTAGTGCAGGCTTTGGGGTCAGACTCCCTGGATTAGACTCCTGACACCCCACCTACAGATAATGCCTTTTTGTGTCTGTTACATTATTATAAAATGGGGTGAGAGTGTACCCTTAACATAGGGTCGTTGCTAGAGATGAGTGAGTGAGTACCTGTAAGGAAGCAGCAGTAGCTGCTAACATTCTGATGATAAAGGGCAGAATCATTTCTCCCTTGTTACTGGTGATGAGAAGCCCTGCTTGTTATGTTGTGTGAAGTGGTTCCTGCACATTCACATAAAGAGTCAAAAAGAGCAGGAGTACGTGATGTGTCTGAAACACAGGATTGAAAGCTCCGGAGGATCATAATGATGGGAAGCATATAGCATGAAGTTGCACACAGCATACATACTCTACTTAGATTGCCGTGGGTGTGCTGAAACCTCTGGTCACTGGCATTGCTGTATCTTCTTTTCCTTTCTTCTTTCTAACCTTATACATCTCCCAGGCTGTGTGTTCTGAGTGTGTGCTACTTTTATAATTGCCAAACAGAAAAGGTGTTTTTTTTTT